CTCCCCCACTGCAACTTGAGACCATTGCTCCTTGTTCTGTCATCTGCCACCACTGAGAACAGCCGAGCACCATCCCCATTGTAACCACCCCCTTCAGATAGTTGAAGGCTGCTATCAAATCACCCTCACTCTTCTCTTCTGCAGACTAAATAACCCCAGTTCCTTTAGCATCTACTTGAAAGTCGTCTGCCCAAGCCCTCTGATCATTTTCGTTTCCCTCCGCTGGACTCTCCAATTTCCCACATCCTTTCTGTAGTGGGGAGCCCAAAACTGGATGCAGTACTCCAGATGTGGCCTCACCAGTGCCGAATACAGGGGAATAATCACTTCCCTTAATCTGCTGGCAATGGGCCTACTAATGCAGCCCAATATGCCATTAGCCTTCTTGGTAACAAGGGCACACTGCTGACTCATATCCAGCTTCTCATCCATTGTAATCCCCAGGTCCTTTTCTGCAGAATTGCTGCTTAGCCAGTCAGTCCCCAGTTGAATATTGACTACGTATCTCTATTTGAAATGCAATTATATCTGTGTAAAATCCACTTGGCAAGAAACTTTCAGTCTAAAGAGCTGGTTCGGAAGGGCCTATTGAGGGCAATGAGCTAGTAGCTAAAACAATTGGCCTCAGGAAAATCTCACCTCATGCTTCCTGAGAGCGCTGCAGACAGCCTTTACATAATGGACACTATGACTCTACAAAGGCATGTGACCAGCCCACATAAGTCTGGACTCCAATTTGTGGAGTCTATGTTTTCCCAGAAACTGATCTGGGGACCAAGTTTTGAAACAAAGTGTTCCTGCCGTATGCTGTATATAAGGGTGGGAGCAAAATTATCGGTCGTTCTTCACTCCCCACACAAGAGTATTGCTGGAAACACCTGAGGAACAAAGACTGAATTGGGGAAAGTGCTGGACCCCGGCTAAAGGGATTTCTAGTCTGTGTATGGAAACCTCAGAAACCTGAGCTGTAAAGCAAATGTAGCTTGTGCCATGAGAATCTGCCAGATGGTTTGTGAGAAACTCCTAATTCATAGTCAATCTAACTGGTGCGTTAAACTTAGTTTGCCGATTTGCTATGTCATCTTCTTTGATCTGTTTGACATCCCTTATAATCACTTGTGTTCAATCTGTTGTAGCTAATACACTTGTTTTATGTTTTAATCTAAACACAGTATCCCTTTAAGTGAAGTGTCTGGGGTAAAAATCTCAGCTTGGTTACCACAAGTGTGCATTGTCCTCCCCACATTGAAGGAGGGGAGAACTATGTAAAAAAATCATACTGGTAGGAGTTTCTACCAGGGCAGGCCCTTACTGCTTTTGGGTCCTAACCTAGGAAGCTAGTAGTTGGCTGTAGTCCGTCTATTGTTGGCTCATGCAGTGGCAGGTCAGAGCTACCATGTAACTGCAGCTGGATGTGTCCCTGCCTCTGTGAATGCTGGAGAAGGAGTAGGACCAGAAGTGGGTCTGCAGCTTCTCCAAGCAGCACAATGAGAGAGGGAGCCCAGGCTGGTGAGTCAGATGGCTCGGTGATACCCCAGTTCCAGGAGGAACGCCTTCGTTCCTCAGCTGCTTCAATTTCCCATCATCCTCTGACCCTTTGTCCGTACTTTCCTTCCCCATACCAGGCTGCTCCAATTCCAAAAGCATATTGGTCACCTGTGTCTTCTCCATGCTCCCCAGTCATTCCTTGTTCCCACAACCTCTGAGCTGCCCCATGCTCCCCACAGCTCTTACTCTGCAGGGGGTGAGATGCCTCTCGTCACTCCTACTCCCTTGGATTGATGGTAATCAGTGACTGTCTCTCACAGGTGAGAAATCTCACGAGTGGAAAATGCCAAGGGAGGCACCTGTGTGGCTTCTCTTGTTATACCCCTACACTCCGCGTGGTGTATGGGTACACAGGAACAATTCGGAAACTGAGAAGTATGCACATTATATAATGTTAGAGGGTAACTCCAGGATATGTGAGAGACTAGATAAATACTTCTGGTATCTGATTGAAACAGTGGGCCACTGGGACAGAGATGTTAAATCCAGGGTGCTCTGGGACCATTGCAATAATGGCAAGGGTTGTACTAGATTTCATGGGGCAAAGTCATTGTTTTTCTCACCTAAAATGTTCATCCATGCAGTGCCTCACGGGATCTCTTCATCTCGTTAAATACACACCTAGAATATCATTTTCAAGGTGCCATAGTCACATGAGAATTGCTCCCACTAGGGTAAAATTAAACATGGTCATGAATAGAAAAAAATGCCTTCAGTAAGCTCAGACACAAGCTTGCCGGCAAACTATATCCTGCTTTCTCCAGGGGACATGTTCATAGATTCCAAGCAACCATTGTGATCATCTGGTCTGACTTCCTGTAGAGTACAAGCCAGAGAATTTCCCCAAAATTGTTCCTAGTGTAGATCTTTTAGAAAAACATTGATCCCAGATTTAAAAATTCTCTGTGATGGAGAATCTGCCAAGAACCTTGCTAAATTGTTCCAATGGTAACTCTCACCGTTTAAACAATGAAAGCCTCATTTCTATCAATAATTTTTTTAACTTCAATTTACACCCATTCAATCGTGCTATGCTAGGATGAAAATACTATTATTAAATATTTGTTCCCCGTTTATGTATTTATAAACGGCTATCAAGTCTCCTCTTAACCATCTTTGTTAAACTAAAGAGATTGAGATATTTGAGTCTATCACTATAAGGCAGGTTGTTTTCTAATATTGTAATAATTCTTGTAACTCTTCTCTGAACCCTCTTAAATATATCAGCATCCATCTTTAATTGTGGACATCAGAACTGGAAAAAGGGTCCACCAGCAGTTACACTAGTGGCAAATATAGAGGTAAATTAACTACTCTATATCTGCTTGAGATTCCACTGGTTGTTATCCCAGGATCACATTGGCTGTTTTGGCCACAGAGTCACACTGGGAGCTCATGTTTAGCTAATTATCCCGTCACACCCCAAAATCTTATTCAGAATCATTTGCTTCCAATGAGAGTCCCCCATCGAGTAAGCATCACTTACATCTTTGTTCCTAGATGTAGATACCAACATAACTATATTAGAACACATCTTTTTTTGCTTTGGCCCAGTTTTCCAACCAATCCAGATTGCTCTGAACAGTGACTTGTCCTCTTCATTATTTACAATCCCCCAATTTTTGTGTCATCTGTAAACTTCATTAATATTCACTCATGTAAAGGGTTAGCAGCTGAGTTGCTGACACAAGTCTCGGCTTACACTTGTCAGTTAACACCTGTAACTTATGCCTCAGACAAAAGCTGGGTGTCTGCAAGAAAGTGTCTCACCAAAAGAAACAAGGGAAGTAACCGAAGTGCAGGCCTGTAGCCCTAAATACCAAGACCCTTGTGCCATTCCTACCCATTCTGTTGAGCACAAAGTCTTAGCACAGCATGATTATGTCTGTTTCCATGGAGGAAACTGGACTCCTTTCCAACATAGGAATAACATCGTGGATCAGACCTATACTCCATCTAGCCCCGTGTCCTCTCTCTGACAGGGACATCCCCAGGTGCTCCAGAAGAAGGTGTAAGAAACCCAAAAGTAGATGCATGGGGGTGGGGGTGACCTGACCGTCTGGAGGGTCTCACTCTAATGCCTGACAGCTAGAGATTGGCTTGTACCCTGAAACACTTGGTTTCCCTGAAATGTGGTTTCTAGGACTTCCAAAATATTTCTTTACCTGTAACTATTGTAATTGGATAGTCTCACTACCCGTTTAATTGTTGAAACTCTTCTTGATTCTTTCTTAGCTCACGGCCTCAACTACCTCTTGTGGCAATGAGTTCCTCAGTCTAATTGAGTGAAGAAAGCATTCTTTTTTATCTGTTTCTAATATGTCACATTTCACTTTAAATGAATGTCTTCTTGATCTTGTGTTATGAGACAGGGAGAACACATTCTCAGTCTACTCTCTCCTAGTCAGTATTGTATAGATTTTTCTCATATCTTCTCTTATTCATCACTTTTGTAAGGGGATAATCCCAGTCTCGTCAACCTCTCTCCATGTGAGAGTTTCCCCAGGCCCATTATCATTCTCATTGGCCTTGCCGGAACCCCCCTAGTTCTGCAATATCCTTTGTGAGAAGGGTGCCCAGTACACAGAGGAGTCCAGAGGATAGTGAAACATTGATGGATTGATCTCATGACACTGTATTTTCCGTATGATTCTCATCCCACTCCTCCTGGATCCCAATGTTTTGCTTAGTCTCTGTCCATGCTTGAACTGTGAGCAGAGTTTCCCAGAGGTGTGTACCATGATGCCCAGGTCCCTGTCCTGAGTTCATACAATTAATTTAGAACCTTCCCAGGTGTTTTCGGACTTCAAGCATTTCCCTCCAATGGGCATACATATTTCTGTTATTGACATCGAAGTTTCTCTACCATCATGCTGCCCACTCACCTGGCTTGGTTAGCTCCCTCTGAGGACATCCCTCGACTTGACTATGGCCAAAATAATCTGGTGCCATCTGTAACTGTTGCCACCTCACTACTCTTCCCCCTTTCTAAATTGGTAATAACTATAAATTATTTACTATACTATTTACTATTGTGTAAACCCCATCAATGTGCTTCTCTCCCTTCACAGGCACCCTGAGCATTTCTCAGTCCAACTGATGCATCAACCACATCATGGCAGCTCTTAACCTCACCCCCTCTGACACTTCAACCTTCATGCTAATGGGAATCGCTGGCCACATTTGAAGCTGCCCACATTTGGATTTCCATCCCTTTCTCTACATTCTACATTATCGGCCTGTTGGGAAATTTCACAGTTCTGTTTGTTGTAGGCAAAGAGCAGACCCTGCACCAGCCGATGTACCTGCTGATCTGCATGCTGGCACTCATAGACATTGGAACGTCTACCTCCATCGTGCCAAAGGCACTATGAATTTTTTGGCTCAATTTGAAAGGCATTACTATGTGTGCCTGCCTAACCCAGATGTTCTTACTTGACACGGCTACTGCTATGCACTCAGCCATCCTCACGACAGTGGCCTTCGATCACTACATTGCCATATGTAACCCTCTGAGATACACCACCATCCTCACCAACGCACGAATCGCTAAGCTAGTGCTAGTGGGTTTATTCAGAGCTGTTCTCTTTGTTCTGCCCCTGCCCTTGCTCCTGATCAGGCTGCCATTCTGTACCAACCGCATTATCTCCCATACGTACTGCGACCATATGGCTGTGTTGAAGATGTCATGTGGGGACACCACATTCGACGGGATTTATGGCTTGGTGGTAGCATTTATAATAATCGAGTCAGACCTAATGCTTATTGCCCTGTCTTATGGTCTGATTATCAGGACTGTCCTCAGAATCTCCTCCAAGACAGCCCACCAGAAAGCCCTCAACACCTGCACAGTGCACATCTGTGTAATATCGATGTCTTATACTCCCTTCCTATTCACTGCTCTGACATACTGGTTCGGTCAGGGCCTCGCTCCCCATGTTCACATCATCTTGGCCAACCTCAACTTCCTTGTCCCCCCCATGCTCAACCCTATCATTTATGGGCTCAAAACCAAAGAAGTTTGTGACAAAGTGGGCAAATACACCAGCAGAAGGTGATCACTGGGGGACACTGTCTTTAAACCTGTATGACAAGAAGGAGAAATGATATCTCCTCCTTAATGAAGGGTGCTCTGTCCCAGTTTGGTTGAGCTCAGCATTGTGGAAGTTCACAGTTTGAGAAGTTCCTCACACCTAACATCTTATCACTGCATCACCAAGCACTGCAGACAGGCCTCTGGATATATGGAGTAGAGTGGGGCCTGAGACTCTTTAACTAGCCAATTCCCCTGGGGTAGTGCAGAAGCCAGGAAAGTTGACTACAATAGTTCCCCACTTACACTTGTGAAAGGGAGAAATTGATGGGTTGGATTTTAGTGATGTGTAAATATATGTGTAACTTGTGACATCTTCATAAAAATGATAAAAGCTGAAATTTTTAACTTTGAGGAGCACACTTTCTGTGAAAGGTGAATATGACATTACTTAATGGGACAGCTTCCCAGAGACTAGTATCATATTAAACCTTTTTCCTTTACCATATTATTATGGGGCTAGAGCAGTAAACATGACTTTTTTTATTTGGCCTCTTGAACATATTTCATATTTCATAACAAATTAAAACAAGCTTCCTGTCAGATTCAGTATTTAGACACTAATGAATTTATGAGCCTTCAGCATTAAAGAAATTAATGGAAAGTTTTAGTTTTGTTTTTATTATTGTGCTCCAAGGAAATATTGTGGAAATGGTAAATGCTGTTTCAAAACTGCTACAATCCAAAGACAGAGATCTATACAAAGCAGCAGTATTACTTCGTAAAGGCACTGAACTTGTAGCTAATTTAAAACTGAGTTCAAAGAAGCCAAATGTTCAGCAAGTAAAGTATCAGAAAATGGGGCAGACAAATCAAATCTGAAGAGACGTGTTTGAGAAAGACAAAAAGGCAGGGGAGCAGCTCATTTTGTGGCAGACCAGGGAGGAGAGGAGACCTGCTAAGGGCAGCTCCAGGAGAGATGAGCTTAGGGAGGCACAATCTCCCCCTGAACAACTGCCAATAAATCCATCCCTGAGGGAAGGGAGGGTTTGCCTCAGGGGCATACTGAGAAAGAAACATTTATATTTAAACTAGGATTTCAACTAGGTTTGCCAGCGAATAGACAACTAAGTGCCAGGGTAAGTGGGGAAGTGGGATACCAGGAGGACACACAAGGAGGAGTGAACAACTGGGGAGGCCTCCTGAGTCATAGTGAGAAAGTAGGGTAATCGGCTAGTTATTTTAGATGCCTGTACACAAACGCAAAAATCCTGGGAAAGAAGCAGGAAGAATTATACTGAAGCACTGTCATGGATCTGCATAAACTGCTTAGGAAAAACAGGCAGGGGAAAAAAGGTGGAGGAACTAACCTGTATGAAAGAGAGCAGTGTGATTGCTCACAGCTCCAGTATGAAACTGGATGAATGCTTTCTGAGTGTCTTTGCATTAAGTTTAGAGGTGAGAGCAACAAGGGTGATGTCATGGTGGGTGTCTGCTATAGACCACCAGACCAGGAGGATGAGGTAGATAAGGCTTTCTTCGGACAACTAACAGAAGTTTCCAGATCACAGGGCCTAGAACATAAGAACATAAGAAAGGCCGTACTGGGTCAGACCAAAGGTCCATCCAGCCCAGTATCCTGTCTACCCACAGTGGCCAATGCCAGGTGCCCCAGAGGGAGTGAACCTAACAGGTAATGATCAAGTGATCTCTCTTCTGCCATCCATCACCACCCTCTGACAAACAGAAGCTAAGGACACCATTCCTTACCCATCCTGGCTAATATCCATTAATGGACTTAACTTCCATGAATTTATCCAGTTCTCTTTTAAATGCTGTTATAGTCCTAGCCTTCACAACCTCCTCAGGCAAGGAGTTCCACAGGTTGACTGTGCGCTGTGTGAAGAAGAACTTCCTTTTATTTGTTTTAAACCTGCTGCCCATTAATTTCATTTAGTGGTGCCTAGTTCTTGTATTATTGGAACAATAAATAACTTTTCCTTATTCAATTTCTCCACATCACTCATGATTTTATATACCTCTATCATATCCCCCCTTAGTCTCCTCTTTTCCAAGCTGAAAAGTCCGAGCCTTTTTAATCTCTCCTCATATGGAACCTGTTCCAAAGCCCTAATCATTTCAGTTGCCCTTCTCTGAACCTTTTCTAATGCCAGTATACCTGGGAAATGGATTGTTTTGTGACAAAGGGAGAAAAGCGTACAACACAAACTGAAGTGAAGGCAGGAGTGAATGTTCCAGCAAAATGCAAAAGCTGAAAATATGACAAAGTTTATTTCAAACTGTGCTTTACATGAAGCGAGTCCAGCAATGCACTGAGGCCTCAATACGTTCTATGCAGTGAAGTACTGGCAAACCACAGTATGCCGTCCTGCAAGCTACACCAGCATCTTGAAATAAGACACCCTACCTTAGTATCTAAACGCATTGAGTTTTTTCGGAGGAAGCTCAATGAGTAAGGAGAACCAAAAAAAGATGTTGACATGAAGGCTCCTGAAGGCTCCTGTGTGGCTTTGCGCATTGCCAAATATGGTAAGTCACACAACCTAGGTGAGAAACCACTACTTCCAGCTGCAAAGGATAAGTGTGCGATGATGATAGGAGAGAAAGCAGCTTCCGAGCTAGAGTTGATCTCACTTTCTAATGACACAGTTACACGCCGTATTGTGGAGATGGCCACTGATGTAAACGAGCAGATCCTAGAAACTGTTTGTCAGATCCCATATTATTCAATTCAGATAGATGAGTCTACTGATACAGTAGAACCTCAGAGTTCTGAACTGACCAGTCAACCACACACCTCATTTGAAACCGGAATTATTCAATCAGGGAGCAGCAGAGACCAAAACGAGAGCAAATACAGTACAATCCTGTGTTAAACATAAACTACAAAAATAAATAAATAAAGGGAAAGCAGCATTTTTCTTCTGCATAGTAAAGCTGCCAATCTGTGTAACCCTTCTGCCAGGTATTGCCAGTAGCAACAAGGGCTGGGTTCAGTATTTAGGGGTTCCTTTTCTACAATACAACACAAAACCGACTCGAGCCCCCACCCAGTGACCAGGGACAATTACACACCACCCCCTGGGCACCTCTAAGAGGCAATACTTCCCCTCTTGCAAGCACCGAGTCCGAGTGTAGCAAAAACTTTTAATAAAAGGAGGGAATTAACTCAACATTAATTTGGGAAAACACCACAAGTAGGGTTCATAAACACAAACCATGAGCAAAAGACCCATCCCCAAGTAAGTTGGTCAGTGTCCTTTTCTCCTCAGGGTCTTAAGTCCAGCAACCCAAAAGTCCCATTAACTTGCCAGTCCCTTCTCTGTACCCCACTCACAGTTCTCCTTGGCCAGTGCAGCCCCAGAGTTCAGAGGTTCATCTGCAGAGTTCACCTCCCAGCCTTTGTGGAAGGTGGGGATGGGGATGGGGGAAGGAGGTGCCTTACATGCTGCACTGCTTGGGCACTCGCTCATCGCCCTAACAGCCAATTGCCATGTCTCTTCAGGGCTCTGCTCTGGCCCTTCTCCACAAGCGTCTCTGCTGGCTGCTTGCCACCCCTGGCCGCCAGCCGCCCTGCTGGCCGCACTCCAAAGTGTCTTCAGGGCCCCCACACACACTTAGCACAGCTCTCAGTGATTTCAGCGCTCAGTGGGGGAGCCTCACTGCCGGTGCACACTGGGCAGTCTCTTGCAATAGAGACACTGTCCCAAGTAGGTCTAATACTTAGACATCAGTATCAGCGATTTCAGCTCTGCAGCGTGTAACAAGACTCTCAATTGAGTCTAAATTAGCTCTTTTATTATACCATAGAGAGAGGAAGGGTCAAACGGTGTCTAGGATCCTTAATCAGGGCCCACACCACCAGGTACAATTACCTGTCCCCCACCCTCTCTCAACTCATTGGGCTTTGGAACCCTTGTCCCCTACCTAGTAGATCCCATCATTTTGTATGTATAGTTGGGGTCATGTTTTCTAATGTGCTTTACTGCTATCATTTGAATCTCTTAAAGGCCTAGGAGGGGTCCTCCTCATAACCTCAATGCGACACTGCATCCCATATTCTTCATATTTGTATGATTATGATATAATTATGACATACTTATATTTTGTACAAGATATGTCTTGTCAGGAATCATTGGAAAAGTTTTGATTTGCTGAAAAGGATTATCCTATTTGTGTGCATGTATCATTTTTATATAGGAAGTTGTGAATATTGACTTTCAAATGTAGTTACACCTGGGTGACAGCCACTAGGCAAAATGCTTCCAGGCTAGATAGCTGGTTCTGAAGGGCCTATTCCAGGCAATGGACCATTAACGGAAACAAAAGGCTTTAGGAGAAACCTATCCTCCACCTGGTGAACCATCCTGAGAATGCTCTAGACAGCCTATAGATAATAGCTGCTATGACTCAGGAGGGCATGCAAAGGCGTGTGACCAGACTACATGACACTAAACTCCATTTTGGGTACCTGTATTTTTCCACAAACGGGACTGGGAACTGTTTTTGGAACAAAGGATTCCAGACATATGATAAAAGAACAGGAGTACTTGTGGCACCTTAGAGACTAACAAATTTATTAGAGCATAAGCTTTCGTGGGCTACAACCCACTTCTTCGGATGCTGTATAAGGTGGGGTGTGACATCATCTAGGGGCCTCATGCCCCACACAAGAGGACTCCTGGAAACGCACAAGGAACAAGATTCTAAGCCACCATTAATGGCTCACACTTTGCATAGTTACAATAGGACTTCAGAGTTACATTTCATATTTCTAGCTTCAGATACAGGAATGATACATACATACGAATAGGAGGGATATATTCACTAGGTTATAAGCTTTGTAATGATACCTTACAATAGACCTTTTGCATGAAGCATATTCCAGTTACATCATATTCACATTCATAAGCATATGGAGTGCAACATCACACCCTCCTCCTGAATTTACTGCCAGAGCCTTGGACGCTGTCCGTGGCGGAGGCAGTATGTATAAAATCCCTG